ACACACACACACACACACACACACACACACACACACACATATATTTCAAAATGGCTTCTGTGAGTTCATGTTAAAAATAAAAATCACTGAAGTGTTCTTGATTACTTTCAAAGTTCACTGTCGCGTCTGGCATTGAGATTTATTTCCAGGCTGCTATTACGTTCCAGTCATTTATAAAATCTGTTTGCAAAATGAACATCATGTGCTTTTACTGGTCTCAGTGTTACCATTCCAGCTGTAAATGAATGGTAGTTTAAAGATGTATTCCCATTGTATGTTTGACAAAAACAACGATAGCAAATTGATTTTCATAATGCATTGAAATGAAGGGAAGACAATGGCTGCCTGGAAAGTACAAGGGGAAAGAAAGGTCACGGGGTGGCGTGTAATAAAGTCAGAGCTCCTGTCTAATTACTCTGATTCATGATGATTCAGCAGCACACAATTTAGGTTCAGTGCAGAACTTTAGTGTCAGTAGCAGGAAGCTTATGATCATTCTTTATGTCTCCCTGTGACCATCAAACTTTATTTTAGAATAAATACTGGATCAAATGACTACATCACCGAGCTCAGAACCACTCTTTTGTGCTCCAGACTATTGTTGTCGTTTTACTCACTGTTTTAGTTTTCTGATTTCACTATCACCATCTCATCAGCTCACATTAAAGAGATTGGGTTAAAATTACAATAAAGTTGTAACTTTAGGGACTCGTCAGTACTGACAAGAATAGCAAAGATCAAAACAGAGCTGAGCAGAAGCTTCATTAATCTCATGGATAGGTACTTTCGGTGGCTCCCTTAGTTCCACCACAGAGGATGTATCCGCATATTTTATTTGGCATGGATTTTTACAGTGGACACCCTTCCTGACGACACCCTGCCATTTATCCGGGTAGGGACTTGGGTCAAAATAGTGGGAGTACACTAGCTTGTGACCTCCTGAGGCTGGCTTTGTGTCTCCTCCCAGTTATGAACTGGTGATCTTTTGGGTGTAAGGCGAGCGTGTTAACCATAACACCACTGAGCCACCCATTGCATTCAAATGAATGATAATTTTGCCCTGTATCTATAAAACACCCCACAATGAATTCTTCTTATGCTGTCACTCATTGATCTCTTTTGTTTAGTGTAATCTTGTCAATACAACAAAGATGGTAGTTAGCTTGCTAAGTGTTGGCAGTGAATGAAAAAAATGTTTTTATGGAACGCTGTTTGGGATTTTGCTGATTTAGTCAGTATCTTCTATTTGGTAAAGTCAGGGTTTGGTTATATAATTATGGACTTCAGCAAGAAGATTAAATCGAGCTGAAAACAGAACATAAAACTTGCAAACATCTACTGGTCTTCAGGTTTAAACAAGACATGGTAAAAATCAAATTTAGTAAAATGTATCTAGCTGTACAACGTGGGTCCTAAAAATATTATTGCTCTATCAATAACGTTGTTCTACATGAAACTCAAAGTATGATAAAAGCTTAGTTGTCAGGTGCATGTAAACGAACTTACGTATATTATGCTTTAAATAATGACTTGTAGATGTGGACACAGTTTCTTGGTTAGATATTGCACTATTTTCATGATCCACAACAAATCCTTGTAGACTTGCTCATATAGGCCTGCTGTACATCCATCCAAAGTTCCTCCGATCACTATAGCAGCACTTAAATGAAAATGGTTGAAGTTTCACAGAGTCGTGATAAGAAAACACAAGAATGAGTGTGGCATGATTCGCACAGATGATTGAGTCCGTTTGCTGTTTCTAGGCAAGGAATCTCAAAAAGAAGGAGGCACCATATTGCCGTCAGAAACTTTTGGAGTCACTTGAAAGCCACAGCAGATGCTCTGTTGATTTGGCTCCCAGTGTGGCAGTAGTAATCTTCCTGAAGAATATTGATGCCTCTTTTGACTGTTCCTTCTTCTTTACATTCCTTGGTTCTAGTTTACTTTGTGCCTTAAATGTCTAATCTTCATTGTGAAAAGCCTCTGGACTAGATGCCCCATCATCACTGAGGACCTCCGTGTTGGTAAAGGTCCCAGCAAGTGAGGCACCCAAGACCTGCCTGACAGGAGCCATCTCTGAAAGAATTATGTTATCATGGTTGCTTACCAGTGTTGCCTTGTCCATTATCTCCTTGCTGTGCTTGGAAACAACAGCATCCAGGAAGTCGTACTTATGTGACAGCATACCACTTTCAAATAGATACTTTGTCAGGTAAGAAAAAAACACATTGGCCAAGAAGGATGCCGCCATGGACACAGACTTGAAGGGGAACCTCTGCTGGACAAAGTGCTCTACATCTCCAGTGAGGTGATGGACCTTCTCCTGGGTCACCCAGCCGGGGTAATAGATGAATGGAGGTAGTTTGAGGTAGGGCTCCCCTCCACCGATGCGCAGCAGAAGACCAAAGATATAACCAGCCACAGAACCATAGGTGTTGGTGCCCTTAACAAACAGTACACTGAGAAGTTGGGGGAATATGATGACATAGACCAGATCAGAGCTCAGGTACCACAGGCCGTATACTGATCCTGTTAACAATGCCATGGCAGTGGCCAGAGCTCCGAACACAAAGATGGTGAGGCGCATCACCCAAACAATCTCCCGATCTGAGGCCTGTAAGGGAGATGAAAGGGATAAAAGAGTAAAGACAGAAACATAACAACTGGAGGGGAATAGGGTGTTAACTTAAATGAAAGTCAGTTCAGATAAAAGATTAGAGCCTACAGCTAAAGTAGTGTCTGTGTGAGGTTGCACTTAGATACGAAAGCGCTTGGAGATGTAGGTTCTGTTTGAAATTATTCACTCGTTTTCTTCTCCATACTCTTATTATTCAGGGAAACTGGATGTTGAGAAAAGGTGAGCTCAGTGGTACAACAAAACAACACTGTAGGGCACTATTTGGTCTTAAAAAAAACAGGTCTTATCGAGTGATTAATCCAATTGTATTTATTTTTTCCCTCCAATCATAATTAATATGTTCAAAGGAACATATTAATTATGGAAACCAGAAGAGAGGTATAAATATGTGTCTGCAGCCACTTTTACAACACAACCGAGGTTAGGGTTTGCATTTCAACCAGTGGTGTGGGGGATCTTGGAAAAAAAGCAAGCATATGATTAGTAATGGTTTCATTTTTCATTTTTTAGAATGACAATGCTCCCAAATACACAGTTAGTGCAATAAAAAGATGCCTAAATATATTTTTTCCTACCAAAATATAAAGAAAAGCAGGTTGACTTAAGACTTTTGCACAGTATTAGCATGCACAGTAATTTTGTCTGTTACAAATGTGATGGGAATGAATAGCAGGAAATCTCAGTGGGACCAATTTAGCAGATTGTCTAACCATCTAACATTATCTAACAAATAATTATAACACAAACAACTTACAAAGATTTCCATCTCGAGGTTTCGGGTATTAAGCAAATTCGATAAAGTGCACATTTAATTTCTGCTGTAGGCTCTTGTTTGGTTGTATTTTTCGTATGAAAATAAAGTTGATTTATTGATAGGCTGACTGATGTTTGGAACCACTTGCTGAAATTGTGCAGACGTACGTGTATGCTAGGAATATTGCTCTTACCGACTGCCGAAACGCCAGCTGATAAATGTTCCTGGCAAACATGGAGCTGGCTGAGAGTATGGATGAGTCTGCTGATGACATGACCGCAGCTGACACAGCCCCCAGACCAAAGAAGGAGATGTACGGTGGGCAGAGGTGCTGAAGCACTATAGGAAGGATCATGTCAGACTCATCCTTATCCTTTGGAGGGAGGGAACCATATGTAGTTTGGTTCCAGTCTGAATCAGGACATGAGAAACAGATAAAAACTGATAATTGTAAACAATGCAAATTTCACAGCTTATTATTACGGCTCTTATGAAACATTTAGCCAACCAGTCAATCTTTGCACTCAACTGTCAAGATTATCTATGTGTTAAATTAGAAAAACAGTCATTAGCATTTGTCTTAATTATTGGTTAGAACAAAAAACAGAAAGAAAGTGCCTTGCATGAGGTAGTAACACAACGTAACTAAAGCTGAACAAACTGTACCTGGCCCACATTCGCATTTTAAGATTAGTAGCATTACTTTTCCAGCAACCCTGCAGAAAATTAAGTGTACGGATTTCTTTATTACAATTTTTGATCCCTTAGCTTTTCAGACAAAAAAGTTAATGCTCTCAGTGGATACACATGCTTTAAAGCTGAGAAACAAAAGGCCTTAATGTGCCCAGGTGCCTTAATAGCAGCACAGATTCAATCTGCTGTTGGTCAAAACACAATAAACCAAGCCAAAGTAATAATAGTACGAATTAAACTGGATACTGACTGAAAACTAGACCCCAGTTCAACATAGATGAGGGTAATATACTGGTTTGTTAATGATCCGTGGAAGCATATGAGTCAGTATTAAATAATTATGGACATTATGTAGATTAACTGCATTTAACTGTTGTCGATTAATCATTGATAATGGTTAACATCATAAGGGAGCCAATAGTTCTGACAGGCTATGTTGAACTTATTAGATACAAAAGTATGCATGGACGCTGGCTGTACTGATACCCTCATCTTTGTTAAGCCAACATTCAGACGACTATGGTTTATATATATATATGTCTTTCTCTACCCATCCCCAGATATTCATAGGCAGTGGTTGATTAGTGCCAGTTCTACAAGTAACGGCTTCAGATGGACCAGATTAATTAGCTCCTCTTCAGATGTAATATTCACTAAATTGCCATGGTCTGATGGCTCTCTCTCCTCTGCACGTCGTGACAGCATCCGTCTGCTGTTTACCCTCCAGACACTGTATACATCTGCATTTACACATCTGAAAAAAGAAAAGGGCTGCTGGGGTGTAAACAACCCCATGAAGCCAGGGTGCTCTCTTTGATCACACTTTCCCATTTGAATAAAGGATGTGGTTCTTGGATGTTTCGATTGTCTTGTGATGTTTCATTTACTGCTTAATCACTGTGCATGTCTGTGCGTGTGCACATCCGTCTTGGATTAGTCTCTGATTAGCGTGTGTTTGCCTAAAAAGTCTGATTTAACAGCTGCAATCCAGACATAACAGCGTGTGTGCATATAAAGCACCAGTGGCACTGTATAGTGATTCATACTTCTACCTGTCTTTGTTGTCCTTGTAAATCTGGATGCAAATGACAGCTAGCTCCATTAATGCTTAAAGAAAGGATTATATATACTACGCCTGGGTACACTGTTTAAAAAGAACTGTTTCTGCACACTCATCTAATTCAGTTTATTAAAATATTATGGGACCCCATTTTAGCTTTAAGAATAATAATGTCTGATGCACCTGTGGGTGCATATTTGTGTTTGTGTCTCTGTGTGTATTATTACCAGTGGAAGCCCCTATAGCTCCTATGAGGACAGAGGGGACAGCCATGACCAAGCAACCGAAGGCAGCAAGGAATGAAAGGACCTGGGCGTAGGTAGCTGAAGAAGCAGAAAGAACCCGTTGAAAATAGACCTGCCAGGGAATCCCCCCCAACATCTAGAAACAGAAACACCAAACCAATGCATTACAATCAGCAGTCTGAAAAGAATACTGTGAATCTCTTTGTTTCTAGTAAAGATATCCATTTCAGTACTAAGAAACCGTTAAATGCTATGTGCCACAAATGGGTCTCTTAAACACGATGCTTTCATTTTGACTTCAGTGAAAGTGTGTCTGCAATTGACTTTAGAGTTGTATACTGTCTCTCGGTGAAACTTCAGATAAAAGTTATGGCTTACAAGCAAAAAGAAGTTGTCCGCCCAGAGCCAATTGTCTTCAGGCTCAATCTTCCCGAGCCAAGGAGATTGATAGATTGTTTTCTTGGCTGTAACACCGATGTCTGACACAGCAGGATTGGACAGAGCAAAAGGCACACTGATCCACTGAAAGGAGAAGAAAATCATAATGCAACATTAATACAATAAAACATAAATATGGAATTATTGTATTTTTATACCATTTCAAAATCTGGCTGTTGAAATCAAGTTCTACTCTACCCTGTGTTGTTGATACAAAAGGTGTTTTTATCAATTTCATGTTTTGATATGATTCTGTGTGTATAAATTTAGATCTTTTTTTAAAGTTATGTTACTTAAAAAGTTACTTAAAAATCTTCTAGAACTGATAGAAGATTTGGTTTAAATATTGGCTAAAATCGTTAGAGCTGCTGGTTGAGTAGCTCCCAAACTCACCAAACCCAGAAAGATACAGAAGAGCTGGACCACATCTGTGTATGCAACAGAGTAAAGTCCTCCAACAAGTGTGTAGAAGATGGCTATCAGTGCTGAGATCACCACAGACATGTTGATATTTATATCCACTATCACACTGAGAGTCGCACCTGCATGGAAATATAACCAGTGTGAAGAAGAAAAAAAATATTCACTAAAATCTGGGTAACCTGATGTTTCACTCACAATGAGTTTGGGCATACAATGCAGTATACTGTAAAGCATAGATTAGATTTAAAGTGGTGAGATTCATGATCTCATCCATTGGGATGCCTACCCAAAGCGGACAAAATGGCTGCAGACCAGAAGATTTCTCCCATGAGTGCAGGGATGAACAGCAGACCACCCATCCTTTTTCCATATAGCTGCTGGAAGGGATCTAGCATGGTCACATATCCACGTGATCGCATGGGTTTGGCAAAGAAAAGCCCCCCTGAGTGATGTCAGATGTTGAGGTAATGCAGACAAAAAGCACGAGAGAAGCATTTTAGAAAGTTGTACAGTACTACTAACTTAACGTAAAGTGTGCTGATGCTGTATAATAACCTTAATGAATAGACCAAATTCTATATGCTTCAGCAACACAGCTTAAATTTACATTTACTTTGATATCAGTCTAGCACAAATATCAGTCTTCCTACACCTAAATATCATATCAATATGAATTTAATGTAAAGGAATTTCTGTCTTAAAAGTTCGGAAAGCATATTAATTTATAGGCAAAAAGTACATTACTACATTAAAACTACATTACATTACCTACATTAGGTGATGCAACTCTTTCCCTTTTTAATCTCGCTATAAGCAGATATATTTATCCAAGTTTTTCTAGGTTTCCTACCTAGTACAAGGCTGAGAGCATAACCAAAGGGTGCCTGTGCCCAGGCCAGGCCGAAGCCTGGGAGGTAGACATATTCTGCTGTTCCATTAATGTAGCCCCCTCCCACCCAAGTGGCTGAAAAAGAAGAAGAAAACTTATTTGTAAATTAACAAATCAAAAGAAAATATACATTTCAAGTTTTCCGAACTGCATGAGTACAATGGTGTAAACTGTGATGGGAATTTCTACTTCTGCCCGCTGCGCAATCTGTGCGTAAAAGACGGAGCGGAAGACCCTAGTCAATGGAAAGTTTTTTTATTTTTTGTCCTTTTGGACCTTACATGGTATGAAAATTGGACAAAATGCGCACGTGGCTGCCGTCGAACAGACACCAAGAAATACAGATTTAAAGACTCACCGGTCATCGTAAATCCACCAACGAACAAGCCGATGTCCCTTCCCCCAACCATGATATTCTCGCTCCGATCTAAGCCATCGCCAACTCCAGAGTTCTTATTCTTCCACGCAGCCCAGATCCCCACAAACAGAATCAGGACATAGAAGAGCACGATAGCCACGAGACCCTCGACGTGAATGGTCATCTTCCTTTTCTCCGCTTCCCCGCCGAGATCAAGTGCTGCTGCGCGCGGACTGGATACTCATGGAGAAAACTTGGAAGAAACAAAGGAAAAAACCCTTTAATGATACATTTGTGGTTTGTCAGAAATAATAAAAACACACAATCCCAACCCGCAGAAACACATTTTAAGGAGTGCAGACAAACTGTAACTGCAACTACATGGAACTTCATTTCAAAAGCTATCAATTTAATCAACCTGAAAACAATAATGTGTGACAAATACATTTCTTAAAAGAAACGAAACAGAAGCATTTTATCACCAGTGTGTTGGATGTAATACTGGCTAAGTCCAAGTGATGCCGGGCGCTTCCAACGCGTTAGAAATTACAAAGTATTTCAAATTTCTTTTTCAGGTTTTCTGCGCACATGCACGCTTACTGCAAATATTCAGCTGTTACAGTTTTAATGCTCCTTGTTAACCGAAGTTATATTGGCCTGAACAACTAATTATTTTCCCCAATAATAATAATAATCATATATATATATATATATATATATATTTTTTTTTTTTACCAAATGTCAAAGTTAAAATTAGTAAACGTGAAAGTGTAACAAGTAATACATTTATATATACTCGCCAATTATAGTTTAAACTCCTCGGGTTAAACTATATTTTAGATAAAATGACCGATTTGCAAATTCCTGCTCGGAAATACTGCGACCATGAATCTTACCGTATCCAGAAGGGACTTCAGCTTGTTTCACTAAATCAACAGATCGGAATCAGAAACGACGCAAACTCGATCCAGTGGTATCAGTCCAAGAGTGCGCACATTATTAGTGTTACTTTAGTTAGTTCTTTACAACAGCTGAACGTGTTTTAAACGCGTTATCCGCCCTCATTTACAGATATTCCTTTCGGTCACTTGACTTAAGTAGAAAAAACAACGTATTTACAACTTTACGCTTTCAAAGATTTGCACCCACATTTGCATGTTTCTGGTAACTCTATTGTGCGCAAAAGTCGGGCACTCCTTTGTAATGGCGATGCATTGGGAAAAAAATCCGGTCCGTTTTCCAACAGATTCATAAAAACAGCTGCATTGATGAGGTTCGTGCTCAAACTCAAACCTGAGGTTCCCCGTTGCGCTGACACCATGGCGCCAAGAGGCCGGTGTTGAATTATTGAGCTCTCTTTAAATCGATTGTCAATGCAGTAAAATGCAATTACATTCGGCAACCACATATCATTTTAGTAAAGTCATTACAAAATATAATTTTCTTACCTTTGCTTTGGAAAAACGGGTCTAAATAGATCACAACAGCTGGGACTCCAAAAGTAGATTCAAAAAGTGTAAGAGACAAATTATATTTGTGATATATTGCGCTGCCAGTCTGTAATCCTCCTGGACGACCAAACACCATTCAACTATGTTGTTTTTTAAATCACAAATGCTGGTCGGCAGCAGAGAGGGAGACGGACCGAGCGAGGGAGGGAGAGAGGCTGGAGGTGGGTGGAGGGGTGGAGATGAATGGGAGTGGTGGGTTTATTGGGTGCTGTCAGGGTGGGTAGATGGTGGATAAATGTCTTCCAGGGCAGGACGAAAATAGCACCTAATAGAGAATGGCATGACGCACAACCTCTGCGGAAAAGCTTTCCAATATCATAATATCATATTGGCAATAGATGAAACCTTTACTTTGCCAGGTTACATTTCAGGCCTGATTTATGATCTTGCGCAGGTCCTCGCTCGCTGATGATTAAGGCAAGGCGCCTTTACTGCAAAGGCTTGCTGTATGGCGGTGATGTTGAGAATGTGAGCCACGCACACAGGATTAATTTCCACTTTATAAGTCCGCATTACACATTCAACTCTGACGCCTTTTCGTCCAAAAACATCAATCTACTCGCAAGTTCGTGCGTTTGATCAATATGATGTTGAAGTAAACTTTTAGACATTTGGAAGCAGCACAGTTACAGTATTTTATTATATCGCCTTCCTGCACTACTATCTATTACTGTTAAAGATCTATGAAGGAACCCAGTTCCGCTGTCCATGGTGCTGAACTAAAATTTCGTGTTTCTAGGTGGTTTAAATCATATTTAAACCGCCCCCTTTAAAAAAAGTATTTGCTTTGGTGAGTACTTCTCTGAGATGTTTAATTTCAAAAAATGATGTTGTTGAAGCTGAGCTCAACATGTGCACGTGAAAGCAGCAGTACAGCAGGGAAAGCCTGTATTGCACATCCATCAAGAAAGGCTTTCACTGATGCAAGAAGTGCTTTAAATTTGTAATTTTTTAATGAGGGAGGAAATAAAGTTACCTGTTTAACAAAATAAAATAAGTTTGATCTGATATAAATTCAAAACAGAGTTTTTATATATCTTGCACATGCCCAGGATCCTAATATTACCATACAGTTTAGCTCATTGAAATCTTTGGCAACAAATCTTTGGCCCAACTCAATGTACAGTTCATGTTTTAACCTGTGATTTCAAAGCAAATAATTCCTATAGATATACGATTTATCCCTTCTTCTGGAGCAGTTCAACAAGGTTTAATGTAAATAATCTTATAGTTTTATGGCATTAAATAGATTTTTTCCGTTAACTCATAATGTAATTTATCTAATTGATGTAAATGATGACAACGACTTGCTGAAATAAGATAAGTCACTTCCTTGAATCGTGACATGTCCTCTCATCTAGTGCCTGTGTGGCTCTTTTATACAGTCATTGGTCTGACAGCCTGCCAGAAAGAGGGCAGCTCTAATTGGAGGGTTTTCCAACTAATAAGCCTCAGAAAGATGTCCACAGTGTTACATGTCAGTAGGCAGACAGCCAGAAAAGCTCCGCAAGGTGGTAATAATTCCACATATATGGCTAATGACTCACAATATGTCAGAGCCATTCAAACAAAAAAAAAAGTGCTCAGATGTAGCGATGCAACTGGTGTCCTATGCAGTACACCAAACAAGGCAGACTAAATAAATACAAGCAGCTCTTCAAAAATGGTTTGGGATGCCTTTTCAAAAGACCTTTGTCGCCATCCAGTGGCTTCGTCAAGATTTACGCAAATCTGAGAATAAATTGGCAAAAAAACACTGAAATTATATTTTAATGGAGCTTCACGGACATTAACACATACAAAAAAGGTTTTCTGGGTGTTAAACGTCTAACAATCTATTATTTTACAAACATAGTTTTAAGGTATAAATGTCACTTGTGATCATAAATTTGCAACGGCCTTTTCCAGCCCCTTTCATCAGAGGATGCTTACACTAGTAATAATACTTATAGTGTCAGGTTTTATTTTCAGTGTCATGAAAGTCATTTAAAACACTGAGTACTGACATAAAATCTTTTTCTTTAAAGGGAACTGCCTTTCAGAAAGAGTTAAATCCCATCTAGGCAGAAGGCCAGATAAATGATCCAATAACATGAGAGTCACAGCAAAGAACATGGAATATCATTTATATCGTCTTTTCTGTGATGATTTCCTATAAAACACTGCCACCTTCTGGTCCTTCATAGGAAAAGCCTTACAGGGTTAAAGCTTCATAAGACTAGCCAAGGCTCTTGGTTATTTATGTTAAAGGAAAGACAGAGGCAAATATCTGTTCAAATCTGACTTTGGTGTTTTGCATTATGGGGGCCTTCTCTTTTCCAGCTGATATCCTCTCATGGGTATGCAGGACAAAAAAGGATCCATGTCGTCTCACAGTTATTGTTTCAGTATTCCTCTTAGTCTTAGACATAGTTATTGAGCCTATAGCCACTGCTGGAAGCGGAGCAAAGCGAGGGAGCATGGTTGCCTTTCAGGGCCTCGGGGGGCCTGTAGGGTGGAGCAGGCGGATGTAAGTTGTTGAAGACAGGGGGAAGATGTGATGACTGACCCCTCTGCATATGGGGGGGACTCTGCCGTGACCTGTCGCCACTGCTGCTCCAACAAAGCACCATTCCCCCGGCCAGACTGAGACAGGCCGAGGCGTATCCGAGATACACAGCCAGTCCGATCTCATACTTCATTCCACTGTGAATTAATGGGTTGTAGAAATTCTCGATGACCTCGTTGGTGGTCCAGGACACGGTGACCAGGCAAAGAAGCCCAGCACAAAGAAAACAAATCCCACCGCTCAGGACCAGGGGAGATTTAATCAACGAACCCCGGGCAAAGCGGGTACATTTCATCCCAGTTACAGAGACCAGAGATGCCAGGACTGAGGTGAGACAGGAGATTACCATGAGCGCCCGGGCAGCCTGATGTGGAGAGGGAAACAGTAGACGACTATTAAACTTTGGACTATAAACGAACTCTTACTTTAACAGGTCTGGGCAATGAACCTGTCAATTAATATACTGCTTTTTAATAAGTGCAAACACTCATATTCTAGCCTATGTTAAGAGTTATTGTCCGTCCCTATTAATAAATATCCAACACGTTACACTAAATTGAGACTATGTATGTTTTTCTGAATAGTGAGTCTGTTGAGTTTAATAATAACAGCAGGATGACTAAAAACTCACATAAGAAAATATATTCATAGATATTAATATATAATAATATTAGATATCTATAGATAGATAGATAGATAGATAGGTAGTATAATCTATTTATTATATTAATAAAATCCAGGAGTGTAAAGTGATTAAAGCAACATAAATTTAATATTCAAGAGTCCTTAAAAGAACAGGCTTCTTGACCTTCCACCTACCTGCCCATCTTAAAACTTTATTCTAAAAGTGAATATGTACTAATGAGTTGGGCTATAAGTATTATTTTCATTAGTATTTAATCTGATAATTAATGAAAACTGAAAACTTCATATTTAAATTGTTCATTGTGCACATAAACGCCTAACTGGGTGTAAAGGTGGAAAATAACCATATAGCTATAAAGTTTCTGTGCAGCATGCTAATTGAAACTGTGTATTGGAGTTACAGAGTTATGTTAACATGCACGGTTGCTATCAAATGAATTTAAGTTAATAATTTTATATTATTAAATGACAGGTTAGTAACTGGTTTTGTTTATGAGATGTCAGAATTCCAAAAAGGATTTTT